CTTCATATTCGATAAGAGATTGAATTTCTTGACTGCCATTTCGTCAAGGATCTGCAGTTACTAACTCCAGGATACGCTTATAGACGTGGTTCAACTCTGTTCGTAGTACTTCCCGAAGTTATATTGAGACAGCTGCTCAGATGACGACGACATCCGCCATCATAAAACAGCACAGAACACACTGACATAAGTATCACTGTCAAGACTCGAACACGCGATTTCTGAGTGCAGGAAGCCTCGATGGACGCGGACACTGCCATCGACGAAACTCACCCACATCTTGAAAGATGTTCAATTACGTTCGTCACCAACTGTGTGTCAATGTTATCTGTTTATCACAGCGGCATTTGCCGCAAAAGAGTCCGGCAACACAGATGTTAGCTTTGTTGCGTGGAGTATCCACAGGGTAATCTTATCACGTGTTGTCCCATTTCACACTCCAAATATTTAGTAAAGCATTGCTACCAGACGTGATAGATCGTTGAGATGAGACTTATTTGCCCATGGTGATCTATACTACCAAGAACCGAAGCTTAAGATAGGCAACTGATACTGCCACATGGCAGTCTTTTCTGATAAGCTTATAGTCACTTTACTGTTCAAGAACCACCGTATCTTATGCAACCCCTTGATTCAATACCATATTCACAAGAATATTCTCCTGGACCTTGCCCTGAACCAGTTCAGTCCAGTCTACTTTTATCAAGAGTTGTTAAGATCCATCTTAATGTTATCATCCCATTTACACTTCAATCTTCCAAGTGAGCTCTTGTCTTTAATTAATCCCTGTAGTGTAATCACACTTATTTACCAGATATAGCAATCTAACAATTTATCACTTCGCTGCAAACACTGGACCACGAAAACTTTTCGTAAGTTCGTGTCTACTTGTAAGTCCACACGACGTTACAACCTCGAAGATGAACGTAGAACTTGTCACCACTGTAAGAACCTGAAATCTCATATGGGCCTGTGGTAGCTTTATATTTTCCGAAAGAAATTCTAACCCCCACATTAATATTTGTAAATGACCGTGGTGATTTGTTGATGTGAGTCGCTGTTTCCTGTCAGGTCTCCGTCAAAGAAAAACAGCGAGGAAGCTGTTTAAGGATAAGAATAAATTCAGGAATCCTTTAAATAACCAAGAACATTTTCAGACAAATTCAGCTGTGGGCGGTGTTCACACACGGTATAGAGACCATCTTCATAGACCCGGTGTCAGCCTTTAATGTGTTTCGTGTTTGACATCGAATTTTCAAATCTGTCATGTATTCCGAAAGTCCTGTGGTTAAGAAAGAGAATTTTAAAAGTAACATTAAAAATATACTTAAACACACACTCGTGTTAGTCGTATGGTGACTTCCTAAAAATTTAAAAATGACTCACTCTTTATGTAAAGATTTTTTTTTGTCTTATGTAACTTATCTTGAATTTAGCGTGATATTTGGGTGAAATCTTTATTTTATTGGGGATTTTTATAATGTTTTGAATGGTATTTTGTCTGGTGTTTTGTATTTCTATGTCTTATTCCACATCCTGTTTACCGTTCTGACTAACTTTAGACGCGTGGAATGTATATTCATGTGGAGGTCTGTGCATGTATATGTATGTATGGAAACGTACAGAAATCATGTATGAAGTTGAAATTCATGACGCTAATAGGGGTGGAGACTTTGAACATGCAACGTGGTTATTCTGTTCTGGCCAGTCACGCTAAACAAAACATTCTTTTCTGACGTAAAGTTCACGAGGAAGGTGATGGAAAGAAATAAGCTAATAAGTACGATATTCCCACCGAAGTAGTCGTGTTCCAACATTGCATTATTCAGTCTACACGACATTTCGTCTCTGACTATGGGAACGAGCAATAGAATTACTTGACAGCGTATTTGGAAGGATATACAAGGCAGTGCAGTATATAGCCAGGTTTACGTCACTTGATGCTGAAGGGTTTGTGTAAAGACGGGTTATACAAAGGTTCACAGATACCGAGGGGGCTGTCTCACAAAGGAATAGTTTCGCTTGCTTCCTTCTGAGCAGAAGGGCTTAACCACCATTATATCAAGAATGTTGCTCTAGAAACAAAGACGAGGTCTTGAGGCCCTACAGAATGGAGGAACTATATCGCTTCTTAGAGTAATTCTCAATCTGTGATACACGTAACGCCTGAGGGTCACGCAAAACATCTCAAGGGACTAACTAACTAACTAACTAGATGGCTTACCGAACCCGAAGGTTCATCACCGAATTAACCAAAGCCCTGTCCTGGGCCAACAAAATCCAGTCTCCTTCAACTCCTATCTCCTTAGATCCCGCCTGAGATTGTCTTCCCATCTACGTCTAGGTCTCCCCAGAGGTCTCTTCCCCTCAGGCTTCCCAAATAGTGGACCCAACCAACCAGATGGCTGACTGACCCGGAAGGTTCATCACCGAATTAACCAAAGCCCTGTCCTGGGCCAACAAAATCCAGTCTCCTTCAACTCCTATCCCCCATAGATACCGCCTGAGATTATCCTCCCATCTACGTCTAGGTCTCCCCAGAGGTCTCTTCCCTTCAGGTTTCCAAACCAATACCCGGTGCACACCTCTTGTCCCATCCATGCACGCTACATGCCCAGCCCATCTCATTCTTCTCGACTTAATCACCCTGACAATATTGGGGGAGGAGTACAGATTTTTAAGCTCGTCATTGTGCAGTTTTCTCCATGCCCCATCGTCTTCCCTCCTAGGCCCAAATATCCTCCTCAACACCCTGTTCTCAAACACCTGCAATCAGTGTTCCTCCCTCTGAGTGAGAGACCATGTTTCGCACCCACATCTCAAGGGACTTGCAGATAAAAATGCTTGAGGGCTTCGTGTCTGTCTTTCGGAATGGAAATGATTTAGGAAGCATCTTGTAAAGATTTAGCCGAGTGAAAGGGGCGTTGGTTGGAGACATTCTCTGTGTGTGTGTGTGTGTGTGTTCGCTCTCACCCACAAGACGGTCATCTTCAACTTCACGTTGTCAAGTTTAGTTCTGTAGGAAGTATACTCCCTCCGGAACACAACTTTAAATTCTGATGCTTGCCGGAGTCGTTCTTCCAGTACTGGAGCGTCCGGGGATCCATGTGTTCGTCGGGATCGACTGAATGAAGTTTGCAATGTGCGAGATTTTCCGTGCACGAGAACGTTACAGACAGAAGGAATGTGGGATGAGCCCTAGAAACCGACCCTAAATGAAACATACACTTAACATTTAAGCTGATTATTCGCGTGTGTTTCTCGTCAGTCAGTGGGATGGGATTTTTTTAATTGCGTTCCGTAATTACAAGGTGGATAGAAACAAAGAATCGACATTTTTCACAGTTGCGACCTTGTAAGAAAAAAAAGAAGAGATAAAGGATAGAGAAATGTAGGAACAAGGTTCCCAGGCGATGCCCGCTCGTCCTCCAGATAAGGATAGAATGAGAGCGAAGACATTAGGGTGGTAAGTAGTGATTGCTTGAGACGTGTGACTTGTAGTGTAACAATTCACGTATTTAATAATCCAGTTAGTGCCTCAAAGAAAGAATCTACGGAAAAATATAATTTGGTTAATGCTGTTTGAGGAAATAATCGGTTTCTTCTAAGAATCGTACAAAATCTTGACTAGCTGAGCGTACTACAGGTTTCGTGGAGTTATTCTGAATGTTAATTCTGTTCAGAGCTAATAATTACGTAGTTATTTTCATTATAAGTAGACAAACGTGCGCGCGCATACACATTTACGTATGTCAGTGGATCGAATATTCAAAACGGTTTAAATTCTCTGAACCTGATAATTGTATTTGTACTACATAATCATTTTAAACTGATTGTATTACAGCAATAATTGTTGCTATGGATCTAGTTAAGGCTTCAAACGATCACTTCTGGTCAACTGTTTTAGCACCATACAAACAATCATAACTTTAATCGCCAAACTTGTAATACAAAATGATTTATTGTTTACAAGATCTTATATATAGTCAAACCAGATTGTTAGAACGGTTTCTTACAGTGCAAACGTTCCGGTTGAGCGTTTTCATTATAATTCCTCTGACCTATATAAGCATTCATGTGGAATTTATCCCATAATTCTGCATAAATAAAATATCCTCCATTTTAGACTTCGTCTTTTCGGTTTTATGATAAACTTACGTTTGAGATTGTGAGCGATAACTGGACGAACTACACGATGTTAAATCGGATTTACGAGAACGTGTAGTTATTTACATAAGACATAAAACTACATTACGTTACGCTTGTTTCAAAGGGGACTCATCATAATTAAATCGGATATCGTAATTAAAATACGTGTAATGTAATTTTGTGCCTTGCTTTGTGTGGGTCTCATACTTGGTGTCTCATACTGAAGGACGAGGCATTTTGAGAACAGAATGCTGAAATGAAGTATTTGAGCCTAAGTAAGATGACGTAACGGGTGTGGAGTTGCATGACCAAGCGTGGGTCTTAATAATTTGAACTCTTCGTCAGATGTTATTAGTATGTTTAAGTCTATGAGGGTGCGATGGGCAGGGCATGTAGCACACTGGAACGATGATGAAATGCATAACATTTTGGTATATGCTGCGTATATAACTATCCTGAAGCCCGAAACGTCTGAAATGTGTTAAAACATGGGTTTGTACTCAGAAATTCGTATATATGCAAAATGGCTGCCGTTGATTGCGTTTTAAGAAATATATAGACTTGACCGTGTAAATAATGTTTCGATAAGAAATGAACAGTTGTGAATTTGCATATTTGAAACCGGAATTTAACTAAGGTTAAATGAATGTTTACAGTCCCAAGTAAACGTATTTGAAATTCTGAGTGTTTTTTTTTTAATGTTCTGTTCGAAAGCAAATCATTCCACGAATTTTCGTCATAAAAGGTTTTGCGAGTTTGATCTCTCTTTTCTGCTCGCCTGTTCATCCTGCCATGTACGTAGACTCACGGCACTGCTTTAACGTCAGTACCTTTTTTCCCTGTGTACACAGAACTGCTGGCAGCGACGTGCGGCGGTGGCGAGGTGAACAATAATGGCAACAGCAACACCAAAGATAGGGGTGGCGGCCGTAGCTCCTGCCTGCACGTCCTGTCGGCCTGGTTTCATGCATCCACACACGTCACAGGCGTCATACCAGCGCATCCTACAGCAGCCGTGGGCAGGTATGACGGCTACCACGGCCGCTCACTACCAGCAACCAGCCTTGGCGGCCGTGCCGAGTAGCGGAAGCAAGCACCGAGGTGGTAGTGCCGTCAGAGCAGTGGAACCTGGTCCAGAGCACGCAGCATCCTCGCTTCATCACGTACACGTCCGGCGCTCGGTACCGTGGGCAAGGACCACGTCCACAGGGGCTGTGAAAAGGAGCCGAACCTGCCACGCGCCTCTCCCGAGCACCAACTCCTGGGTGGTTCAGCCTCAGTACCTGCCTACAGTGACACCCGTGGACATGGCGTCTCGTACCGGCTGGATTACCCAGCAACAGCAGCAGCAGGGAAACAGCAAGGACACTTGTGGAAGTGTTTGCAAGGCGTGTTGCCATACGGCGGCCCCACCCGTTGCCGGAGACCCCCAGCAACAGCAGCAGCCCCCCCAATGGGGCTCTTACTACGGTGTCACGGGTCATTGCCGAGGAGCGAGTGAAGATGGTTCCAGGATCCTCTGGAACAATGAAAATATGCTTCGACTCTTCCAAGTGTAGCTCGTGGTTCATTGATGGTAAGATGCAGCTCCAGGTGTGTTGAGTTGTAGTTTTTCTGTAGTGTCTGTCGTCGGTGGGAGCGTAAGAATAGAAAATGCAGATGTGGGTGAACGTCTGTCTGTGTGTCAAGTGAAG